TTCGGTTTCTTTTTCAGTCCCATCTCCTGGAAAATTGTGACTATGCGAGACAGTCAGTGAAAGAAAAGAGTACCGTTTTAGTCTGTGTGCTTGTGGAGACAACCTGGAGTAGGTAATCTGAGTGCAAGCTAAAGGCTGTAGAAGTAAGAGGCATGTACAGACTCTCACACTGATGATAATTTTAAAAATCTAATTATTTTAAATCAATCTTGTGATTCTTGAACATTTGACGTTGGCAATATTGGAAAGAGAATCTCCATCTGCCTCAGTGAGCTGGATTTTTGTAAGCTTTATTTGTTTATTTATTTTCACATTTCTTTACACTGTTACCTTAAAATAGGCACAGGTTGTGTATATAATGGGGATTCTCCAGTACAGGAGCTGTATACAAGGAGGAGGAGCGGGGGGGTCCATAGATCTGTTTGCAGGAAAGGTTAGGGTGTTTTGATGTTGGGGTTTGTTTCTTTTTTTTTCTCTTTAAACAGCAATTTGACTTTTTGAATCATTTAAAATTAAACTTAAGCTTCTGCATGTGTCTGTTAAAAATTGTGCTGGGGGGAAGGGGGACTCAGGGCTGGGTTTGGTATTTGTTTGAAGATATAAAGTTTGGCACAGTATCAAAACCTTAAAGCACAGAGAGAAACTCCATGCAAACATGTTCACTTCTAATTTGTTTTAAAAATTGGGGAATTTGCACTCCCTTTTCCCATGTTTTCCAGAGGAGGAAACCCCCCTCTTTCGCAGTGTAACTCAGACAGGATGACCAGAGCATCAGCCGCAAGCCCCGACTTAGTGAACAGGGTGAAATATCAGCTACTACCGCAGTCCCATGACCACACTGGCCACGCCAGCAGTTGGAAGTCACACCACCTTGGGCACCCACCTGCCCTGGTTATGCCTCTGCCATCCTTATGTCACAACTCCTTGGAAGTTCGATTCCCCCTGTTTGGCAGTCTGCACTGGTATCCCTATATCTGTGTTTGAGTGGTTGCATGAATGGTGTAGAGAACGCCTGACTCTTCTTGTAGGGTGACCACCCATCCCTAGTTGGGTGGGACAGTCCTGGAATGGGATTATCAGGTCCCAGTCCTAGGCCACATGACTCTGGGACAGCATTTGTCCTGGATTCTCAGTATCATGCAGGGATCCAGTTTTCCATTCACCGTGGCAAAACACAGGAAATGGTGGGTTTCCCCTTGCAGGCTGGCAGAGTTTCAGGCTGCTTGGGACACACACACACACACACACACACACACACACACACACGGCTGGGAATATAGCCCCAACCTGCGGTATAGAGGAGCTTCCCCAGCTGCCTGCAGGTAAATCAAGGGGGTGGGGGCAGATGGAGGCCGCCAAGGTGAGGGAAGGAGTGGGGCAGGGTTGGCGGCTCGGGCTGGGGGCGCTGCCCAGCTGGGGTGGGGCCCGGGGCAGGAATGTGCAGCTGCAGGGCCTTGCCAGGGAGTAAGAGCCACAGGTGGCTTGTCCAGTGGGCCAGGGTGGGGGCAGCTCCCCACTGCTCCATGCACTCCTGAGGAGTGGGGCATAGGGGGCATGTGCCGCTTCCCCAGATTTATGTGCGGTGTGGAGGAGGATGTGGGTTCAAGGCTACCCCCAGGAGCCCTGTGCTGGCCATACTACCATGGTGAGGTGCCCCCTGCCTGGCTGGCTCCCAGATACAATATCCAGAGCCCCCCAGGGGGAGGGCAGCAGGCAGGGAGCCCTAATCCCAGGGTGGGCAGCCTGCACCCTCTCCCTCCCCTCACTGGCTGTGCTGCAGAAGGAGCGGGAGGGCATGGGGAGGCAGGTATGTGTACCACCTTCCAGTTTGAAAAACATGGTCACCCTGTCTTCACGTGTCATGTACTGGCTATCCCGTGCTTGATTCAAACCAACAGGCAGGAATTGTCCTCCCCTAAAAGCTGGGATTCTAATTCTGGCATAGATCACTGGGTTTACGTAGAGATTACCTAGATTACATTAGTGAGCAGTATTTGATATCCTTCCTAATTAACTGGTTTAAAACAGGGATAGGGAATAAAAATGAAGGAAAAAAAGATATGTCAAGCAGCTTGCATCACCAATGACATGAGGCCTCTAGGATGGACTCAAAGAGTGAGAGAAGTAGTACAGCAAGAAGAGGGAGCACTAGGGAGTGATGCTAATTTATTTTATGCGTAACTCTCCTCTGGCTTCCATGTGGCATGAAAGCAGAGTTGGTGACTTCAGATGTTATTCAGAGCACATGAAAAATGGAGGTGCCTTGCAGCCCAGCTCAGCATGGACCGTAACGTGGAGGTGAAATTTCACCAGCAATTCCAGAGACTGGGTCAGGGCCTGAGTCCGGGGGGATGATCAGAGGAAAAACAAATACCACAGAGCAGAACTGGAAAGTTGTCAAATGCTTTCCTCAAACACTGACACCTTGCGGCTAGTCCAATTATTTATTACACACAAATTACGCAGCACATACAACACTGTTTTTGATTTGTCAGTTGTTTATGAGTTGAGCTGGATTTCTGCAAATTAGCTATTTATTAGTAGTATATGAGCACCTTTTCAGCCTGGAAAGTATTTGCTTTCTGTTATTCTCTGTGATCAGTAGCTTAGTAGCTTATTCAGCTGGTTTTGTTTTTGCTTTCTAGTTGAATGAATTGAAACTTTTCTAGTTGGAGAATGATTAATGGAAACAAGGTATAATGGATAATATATAATGGATAGAAAGAATCTTTATTCCCAGAGGGTTGCTCATCTAATATGCTAAATATGGTACTTGTACAAAGAAAAGCTATACCCCAAACACTCCTATGGACCAAAATCTGTAAGTGTGAATTGATCTGAGAAACATGTGGGATGTTTTGAATTAAATAGCTGGTTTGAACATGTATTAATATCCAAAAACATGGTTGGTTTTGGTTTGGTTTTGTTTTTTTTGCAGTATTTGACAAATTCTGCTATGAAGTTAGGTCTAGGGAATTCAGGCAGGGGAGAAAGAGTCGCGATTCCCTGGATTGATCTTCTATTGTCTCTTCCTGGACTTCTGGGTATTCAGCCCCACTTAAAGGTTCCCTTCGCTCTTTCTTTTTACTGTGGGTTTTGTTGTTGTTGGATACTTTGTAGATGGGGTGTGAATGAGGGGCCAGTGCAGGCTGTCTGGTGGCTCTTTTTTTGAAATATTGATTGTTTGCAAACATAGAAAACTGGATTTTGGCCCAGGAGGTCCCTTTTAAGTCCTATGTTCCTAACATCTGTTAAATGGTGATGACGGACTTTACTGTGAGTTAAAGGGTGAGGGGCTGAGGGAGGCGGGGAGCAGAAGTTACCAAAGGTATTGCTTCGTGGAAAGACTTTTCAGGAATGCAGAGTCCTACATCTAGACTGGCTCACGAGCTACACGAACAGCCAATATTCACCAAAGAGCCACAACGGCACAGACACGTCTGCATGAAATGTGGCAAATAGTCCCATTGTACAGAAAGAATTACAGTGCATCGTATAGGGATTTCCAACATACATGGTGACACAGTGGTTTGTAGCATAACAGATTTAGGTATAAAATGCAACACGTGGAGTAAAGAATAAACATTGATAAGGTTTTTTGTAGAGAGTGGCAGGAAGGGAGTAGAGGAGCTGCTTGTGACCTGGTAGCTGTGGTTTAAGCATCACTGATTCCAGAAGATGGTAGATTGCAAAGTGAGGAGGGGTCTTTATGACTGTCTATTCTGATTTTCTGCCTGATACAGGCCATATGATTTAACCCAGAAATCCTGTAGGGGCTTATTCGTTTGCTCCAGGAAATGGAACCTATTGTAGCTTGGTCCAGTACAAATCACAGAGATGAGGAGAAGCTCCCAAGGGGACTATGTAGCTGCAGCTGAAGGCCCAGGGGTTTTGTACTTGTATGATTTTGCATTTGTCCTGCCTGCACTCGGCTATCAGCTGCCTGCTCTGTGCATAAACAGCGCGAGATAAAATATTGGCAAGAACCTGGTGTTTTTGTTTCTGAAAATAACCTGTCCCAGCTGCAGCATTCCCTACCCCCTCTGCTCAAGGCCGCGGTGCTGGGGGCGCTGCTTTTCAGGGGTACTCCGGGTGTGGAGTAACTCACTGGACAGGCTGAGCCAGGCTGTTTGGAGGCAGCCACGGGGGGGCCAAACAGTGTACTCTGCTGCAAAGACTCTTCTTGACTTGGCGGGTGACTTCAGCCTGGGGCTGGCATGACTTTAGGAAGTGCTTTTTAGGAGGAGGAATGAAACTCATTCCTTGCCCCTGAGCCTGCTTCCTCCAAGCCGATGCCCCTTAGCTTGGGGAACGCAGGCAAGAACTGTTGCCAGTTTCCCAAGCTCTGCACAGCCTGGGAACAGCAGGCTTGGACCAGGGTGCAAGTCTTACAGTTAGCTAGCTTCTAGTTTTCTAATAAGCCCGTTGAAACCCCCTGTGCACTGGAGAGGTTCAGCTGTGGGTGGATCCAGACCCAAACCTTGAGACTCAGGACACCCTCTCTGCTTTCCACTATAGAAGCTGAAAAATAGCCAAAGCCCGTCCTTTCCCACTGCCTTTGCACTGGCAGTCTGCTTTGGTTTAGCAGCAGAGGGAATTGGATAACTGCTGCAGTCCCATGCTGGCAAGCGTGTCTGTGCAAGCTGGGCACCTGGCACAGGGGTCAAGGCACCTTGCAGGCAGTGTTGCTTTTTGAGTGCAGCATCCCCGAGACAGGCAAGGCATCAGCTCAAGAAGCAAGCAACGCTGGGTAAGGTGTCAGGGCAAGGAGACAGGTGCATTGCCTACGCTGCCCTCACTCTGCCCATGGAGATGAATCCTTTTCTCCTTGAGCTGGTTTGCCAGCTTCTCCCTCTCTTGCTCATGGTTCATTTCTCCCTCTCTTGCTCTTGAACTCCCCTTTCCTTGGAGATGAGCCCCTTCCCCCCTCCTCCACATACCTTCCATGATGTCAGCACTGGGGGAGGAGGCAAGCTGAGACCAAATATAGAGGCAGCTTCCTGCTTTGCAATTTTTTTTTAATCCCTTCCCTCCTGACCCACCCTCCTGCAGCAATCAATGAGAAGGCAGCAAAGGGGAGAACGGGCAGCGGGTTTGCTGAAGCATTTTACTAGTAAGAGCAGGGGCTATTGTGCTTCTCCTCCAGGCTGCTGGGAGATGAATGGCAGGAGGCAGCACAAAGACACTATGCCAGGGGAGGGCTCAGCCGCCTGAATGCCAGCCTGGGACCCTGACTGCACATGGATCAGCCAACGGAGCAATAAGGCGGGTGTATAGGGGCGGACTGCAGGACTTCTTGCTGTGTCTTGCCATCCCCTGAGCGTTATGGGCAGAGGCTTTGTGCAATGAATGCTTCCCCCAGAGCTTTTCTCCCAGCGAATATGGGCACGGCTGTATCCAAAAGGAAGAGTCTGAGGAATGATGCTATGTCTTCTGTAGCAGCGAAAGTTAGGTGAGTGATGCGTGTGGTTGGCGTAAGTTCATGGCCAAGGTGGGAATAAAACAGTTGCTCCAGAGGGCGATGCTGGGGAGAAGGCAAGGGCTTACTCCAGGGAAATGTCAGTGCCCAGGTATGGGGTGTGTGGGCTCAACACTGGGTTATTTGCATTACAATGCCAGCAATAAAGAAATCTGTGCAGCTCCAGAGGGGAGGGCGTGCGTGTGGCACAATGAGAATCAGTATTGCAGGCTTCTGCCTCCCCCTCTTTCTCCGGAAAGCTGCCGTTCTGAGGGCTGGATGAAAGTGCAAGCATTTTAGATGTCGCATCACATTAGTTTAGTTTGTGGAGATCCTACCTAGGCTGCAAAATCAACCAGGTTTGTGTGTGTGTGTGTGATGCTGGTTTCCTTGTTCCCTTTATGCTCTTGCTAACCTGCAGGTGCCAGTGCCTGAACGTTGCTTATTTATTTTTAGTGTTATTATTATTGCTTTCCAGTGGGTTTAAATAGCAGATGACATGAGGTGAGAAGATCCGGCTGCCTGGTGGGAGGCCTGGCTAAAAAAAAGAGAAGCCACTCTTGGCAAGACCTAGACAAACCCCATTTAATGATAATGACATTGATTTGTACCTGGATTGGCAATCTGGAAATCACATTTGATACCTGAGCTGCACGTTTAGATTGGCACAACTTATGTTCCCCAGAAGCAGCCTGCTTTTGGAGTGCCCCTTTGTTACCGTGCATGTGACCGAGCACCTCCGAAATTAATGATCAGTGCAGCTGACACTGCATCTAGTATGTGTGCACTAAGCAAGCAGAAACAACAGAAAGCCGTCTGCCTCTGGTATCTCAGAGCAATCCTTCTATCAGGGCTTTTGTTAATGGCCACCTGGAGCAGGAGCATTTTTCAGCAGAAAATACAGGGTATCTATACATTCAGGAAACTGCTGACATGTACAATATGTATAGTCATTTGTGCCATATTTGACACACGCTAGCCATATTTGCTTATCCTGTGGAAAATAGATAGTTTGTTCCCAGGCATCTGACATGTCAGCGTGTAACACTGTACTGGGCTAGGGCATTCTCTCTCCTAAGCCCACTGTAACTGTTTGCAAATGAGAAACCTTCAGAAAGTTACAGGGTAGTTCAGCACTGAGGATCCCACCTGGCACATATGCCCCAGCTCTGCCGGCATCATCCAGTGCTTTTGCTTTGTATTTCCCTTGCCAAAAGCAAGCAGGGTAAGGCAGCTCTTGTGTTTTAACAAGCTGTTCAGGAGCGTATTTATCAAGCATGGATCTTATTAATCCTTGTAAATGCCTAGTACTCTGAGTTTGCCTGGTTTGCCTTATAATTTAGGAAGGCTTAAACCTCCACCTGCAAGGCTGATAGGCACTGTCTTGGTGGGGTGATCTTCTAGGAGCAATCTTTTGTTTCCCCCTCTGCTAAAAGGCTATTGCGTGAAAGACCAAACTTCCATACCTCTATGTCTTGAGGTGTCCCAGCCTCTTATATTTACCCATATGAAGGTTGTCTTTCATGTTATTTGGTCCTTTCTACAGTATTTTGGTGTATTGCCCATCTGTGTCACCTTTTAATACTGCTCCTTGGTAATCCTAGACAACTTCTCTCTCACTCAATAGCACTTAGGATGTTCTTTTGAAACAGGAAAATGTCCTGCCTTAGACTGGCTACTGAGTATTCACCATAGACATGGCAAATAACAGGCTCCCACTCGACTGTGCAGGCAGCAGAGCCCTGGTGCTTCAGAGACATTCACTTCAAAGTGGTTATTTGGCTGATATCACATGGGTATTGATAATAGGAATAGGTCTTGTAGTGGCCCTGATTGCTACTCCCAGGTTAGCCATTCATCTCTAGGAGATTGGAGGAAATCAGGTTTTCAAGAGCAGTCCGTGGACGCTGTTTCTGTTGGGGAAGAATTATCTGCAGGATCCAGAGTTCTTTGTAGGATGCAATCAGTGTTGCTTTGACACAGATTTCAGGCAGTCAGTCCCACTGAAGCTGTAACACGCAGCATTGAAAACCCTAGTGGAGTAAGAGAAGAAGCAATCATATTGTCAGGGAAGGACAATGGAGAAGGCAAGATATTTCAGGTTGTCTGAGTTTTACAAAAGTCCATCTGTCAGAACTTGCAGTACAAAAACTTGCAGGAGTTTTAGAAAACCTGGAACTTTCAGACGATGAGACTGGTGTGCTTTGGGACATTGTGAATATTTCCATATTGCATAAAGGTGGCTAAAGAGGCTTCAGCAGTGAATTTATGGAGAAAATTCAGTGAGAAAAGGTAGTGAATTTATGGAGAAGACAGAAACTTGTCATAGATGTTTTTAATAGAGGTGTAGGAAGCTGAACTTTTGTCCAGTGGGATTAGAAAGCTAGGCACAAAATGAATATGTTGCACGATAACAGTTCAAACAACAGCATGGATTTTTGACATACGGTTAATGCTGGGCATGTGGGCTCATCATTTTAGGTGCGCAGGGTATGACCTCATACGCAACGAAGGCAAGGATAACACTAACACACAGCGTGAAATCCAGGAATTATCCCAGGAATCCGGGACCGATGTTCTATAAACTAAATCAGTTAAGTCTGCTATTATGTCCATCCAGATATATATTAAAGTGGTTTCAGCCATTTTGAAAGCAGTTTACATGTACTGAACATCTGTTGTGTTACAGATGCGAACCAGTTTCTGATTCCTTACATTGGTTTAAGTGTAATTTCTGTCCCTAGCCAGGAGGTCTTGGTCACTTTTGTGTATGCTGTAGAGCAGGGGTTTTCAATGTTTTTTGTACCAGGACCCATTTATAAACATCACTGGCCAGTCCCAACCCAGTGACCCTCACTCCCAACCTGCTGCCCTCAGTGCGCACGGCAGAGGGGCATGGGGGGTCCCAAGCAGCCCCTCACAGGCTGGACCTCTGCCAGCCTGTAAGGAAAAATCCATTGTTTCCCATATTTTTCTCCTTTAAAGGAGAACCCATTTTTAAAGTCTGATCCATTTTTTAAATTTGTTCGTGACCCTATCATATATTCTTGCGACCCACTTTTTGGCTTACAACCCACGGGTTGAGAAACACTGCTGTAGAGTTATCGTAAGAATCTGTTGTGATTTTTATATAGGAACTCAAAGGTGTCTCTTGGTCAGTTTTGGTTCAGCTGCTGGGATCGGGGAGTGTTGCTGAATGGGCCAGGGCTGGGGGAGCTGTGAATTCCCCTCTGGGGGTTTAGTCGGTCAGGTCACAGAACCAGCTGGATGCACTTATCTCTGGACGCTTGCTAGCTCTTCATGCAGAAAAACCAAACTGAAGGTGTTTATGCATGGAAGGGAGGGCAGAAAAATCTCATGAAATTGCTCTCCGAAGTTCTTCCTTAATTGTTCATTTGTGGGGTGGAGAGGGACCAGTGGGTACCTAACCACAGCAGACCATGTGAGGGACCATAGGTTGCAATACTGGCCCTGTGGCCCCAGCAGCTCTGGGTGGCAGTGCAACGGGGTATGCATCCAGTGAGTTGTCCCAGGACTTCTGCAGCATGGGGAGGGTCCTGGAAGGGATGACTCAGCTTCTGATTGCACTGAGGTCTGACAGCTTTGCCACAGGGCTTTTAGGGGGGTGTGATCAGCTCCATCCCTGGCCCTCCTCCATTTGCCTTCTTGGCAAGACCCTGTTGAGCTGTGTAGGAGGCTCTGCAGGAGGGAAACGGTTTCACGAAGGGGAATTAATTTGTCCTCACCGCAGAAAGCTACCTTTGGGTATATTAGCCTGGTGTTCTGATCCCTTGTGTTTTTGTGTAGGCAGTTGTGGACCCGTGCTGCAGAACAAAAGACCCAGTAAATCTTTTGTTGCAAATGCCAAGCTGTTTCCCTTTTAGATTTCATCTAGCAATTTTTAACATGGAGAAAAGCTGTCCTCTAATTTGGTGCCCATTAGATTGGCTGCTTGGAGCTCTGTAGAGCTGAGCTGTGTGTACAGGTAACACCTGAGTAAGGGACAGCATTTGTTTACCATTGTGCGACAGGCGCACAAATGTGATCTAAGTAACAGGTACACCTTGCCTAGAATCCCAGGGCCTTATGTTTAAATCCCAGCTGGTTTAACTCAGCCCTTTGGCTTTCCCAGGTGAATTAATTAAATTCCACATGGTTTGTTGTGTGCTGGATATTGTAACAAGTCTTAAAAGAATTACAGCCCTAACTCCTCTTCAAGAACATTACTGGCACTTGCAGAAGAACTGGGGCTTGTTCTACCATGCATGGTCCTAGTTACCTGCTTTTCTTCCAATACAGCTGAAGTGTGTACTGGTCAGGTGTTGCCTCCACTCTGGGAATGGTTATGTTTCTGTGCTGTTGCCCTGCTTGTGGCTTTCAAGTTCTTTAAAAGCCCAATAAATGTAAAGCTCAGTGTCTGTGTAAGAGCGATGGGAGGAGGTTAAGTCTTCCCATTCCATGACTTGATGTCTCCCATGCTGTGTCTTGTGGCCCTTCAGCACATCTGCTATGCAGCAAGAAACCTTGTGCCACAGCCTAGGTAGAGCTCCCCTAGGCATTTCCCAGGGTGCTGTCTTTGAGATTCCTACTTGCTTTTAAGATTCCTGTAGTCTTAAGTTAGCTCCAGCACTTCCTCTTTCCTCGACCACTCTGGCACATTTCTTAGGTGTAGGCTGTGTGTTACTGCTTCAGGGACCTGGGACCTTGCAGCCCACTTCTCCTAGGCCCCCATGACCAGTGCTGATCCCCAGGCACCACACTAGTTGGGGTACACCCTTTCCCAGAGCCCCACCTTGTGTGTAGTCTGACTTACAGACACCTGGGCTTTGCAAACAGTCCCCAAACCCAATCACTCTTTACTTCACCCAGCACAAGGAATCTACAGATCTCGACAAAACAGTAAAGCATCAGTATGCATTTCCTTGCCTTAGTTTCCCTGCTGCTCTGGAGCAATCTTTGGGATTAAGTCATAATCTTCAAAGAACTTTAATATT